ACACACACACACACACACACACACACACACACACACACACACACACACACCAGAGCTGCTCCCCCTCAGGGGAAACAATCACGTTCACTCTGTCTCCGTCCTCACAAACACTGAAATCATCAACCTTCAAAAAACCCTGATCTGTGTGATTTAAATCTTAAAATATGTCTGTCGTTCACACTTCGTCTTTGTGTTTTGCTTCTGTTAGCAAAATATCTGTGGGCGTATTTTAACGAAATTAACAGGAGGTAACCGTTTACATCTGATAAACGTTTGGATTCAATCTGGTCCAAGATGGCTGCCACTGCCAACTGACCTTAAAAAAACGCAATAAAGGCTGAAACCTGTCAGATACTGATCCAAAATCAAAAGTGAGACTGTAGCTAAAACTGACCCCAAAACGTATTCTGGTGAAGTAACTGTTTTACAGTCAGGTCTGTGTGTCTGTTAGCAAAATATCTCATGAACGACTGCACAGGATCGACACGCTCAGTAATCAGTGGCTGAATGTCTACAACTGATTCACTTGAGTTTGAGTCAAAGTGGCTGCCAAAGCTAATCAACACAAACCAGCATAAAAATGGCAACAATTTAGTCAGTTTTACAGATCTGAGGACAAATTGGACATAGCAGTAGCTGAGAGTCATTCCCAACACACACAGCGAGCGACAAGATGAAGCAAAATGTTACTTTCAAGGTTTGACACACAATTTATTTCACAGCATCATGTGTAGATTTAACATTTAAACCAACAAAACTCATGATTGTTTGAGTCTGATTAGAGAATTTGTGCCATTTTAGATGGGGGGGAAAGAGAGAATGAAAGAAAAATCTAGATCCAACAGCAAAGTGGTTCTGTCAAATCTCTCTTTTATTATTCATGTTTAATTCTGGATTAATAATAGATCATCCAAAGCCTCGAAGCCTGACCCTGAATGTTCTAATTGCAGGTTCTGTCAGGCAGAATCACTCCATGTGTGGTTCTGTGTGTGTGTGTGGTTCTGTGTGTGTGTCCTGCACCTCTGGGCCCACATGCAGGCGTGGATGTGAGCCCCTCACACTGCAGCGTTCTGATTCCTTCGCCCTCTGGAATCGATCGGGAGCCGGACTCTATTCTTACTGGATTCGCCCCGGGGCCACTGGAGACGCTTTAAAGAAAACTAACGCTGCAGAAATCTGGTCGGCACTCATGCTTTGTTTCACTTCTTTTCTGAGATTGTGTTTTAAAGCAGTGGTTCCCAAAGTTGGTGGTCAGGACCAACAATGGGGTCCCAAAACATCAAGGTGGGGTCCTGAAAGATTTTCTGAATTAATTACATTAGAAAATAACAACTAACAACATTTTTGTTTGCCTTTGTTGTTATAAAAGTGTAAGGTTAGTGTACCCAGAATTGACAAAAATTGCATAATGAGTATTGTTGCTATGCTCTTATTTTTTTTGACATGAAAACAATGTTTATGATCCAACAACAGTTGGGGGCTCAGGTCTCTGCTGCTGGTATTTTGAGGGTCAAAGGCTGAAAAGTTTGGGAACCACTGCTTTAAAGAGTTCTCCCCTCAGAGGGAACCCGTCCAGCGTCTGCTCCACAGATAACGTCCAGCGTTAGAAGACTTTTATTGTCTCAGGTGAGACTCTGTGTTTAGGTTCAGCTGGGATTTTTGCCAAATATCTCGTGAACCAATGGATGAATTTGAAATAAGACAAAAGGCTTAATGAGAGGTGATGAGCACAGATAACCAAAAAGTTAGCATCACTAACCACTAATCCACTAAGTAAAAACCTTAGCTCTGCTAATGCTAAACCTATAAACAGATAAACACTTAGGAAAAGCTAACGCTCTTTGAAGTCACCTTAGACGTTAGGCTTTTTTTTATTTTCATTCATCTCCTTCCAGTTGCAGACTGGTGGGACTAAAATAAACATATTTGTTTATTAATGGTTTAATTTGAAAGTGGGTGGGATCTTTTGTGGCAAATCAACCAATCCTAACCAGTTACAGTTCTAACTTGTGATAATTCCAGTTTAACCCTTTCAGAATAAAAGCATTTTCTTAAAACATATACTTTATCATATTTTATTTGCAGTAAATCTATTGTAAATATTGTCAAGTGTTATTTTGTGTATTTTTGACGCTTTTACTTTGAGGTTTAGCTGCTAAAAATGCTACAAGCTACACACATCCAACGCTGTTTGTAAGAGCGGAAATTTTTATTTATTTGGGATAAATCGTATAAAAATAAACTTTTGCACTTGGAAATGTTTTAGAGGACTTTAAATCGACAGTCCACTAATGGTTTCCATAGTTAGCAAAAATGCTAATCCACTAAATGAGAAGCCACTTCTGCTATTAGTGGATTAGCAGACCTGTGCCCACTGTTGTAAGGACAAGAGCTTTTGTTTTAGAAATACTTAAATGAGTATATAAGTTTGTTAAACACTTTTTATTCAGTGATAACTCAGTTGCTGCAGTAAATCCTCTCAGTGGACTCATCCTCTGCTTTGAAACATTCAGGCTTCTCTCAGGCCCGCGTTGTGGGCGATAAAATCCTGTGATTTTAATCAGTTGCGAGTTTTTTGGGGACTTAAAGGATTATTGTTTTTCAGTTGTGCAAAATAAAATGTTATGAATATTTTATTCCTGCTGTTTTACCTTATTTTTTATTATCATTATTCTTCTCTTTTCTGCATTCGTGTTCGCCAAATAAGCTCCTGAAGTGACTGCAGGATCACAGCTGTTGCAGGTGATGTTTTTCCTATCAGTGCCTGTTCCTGCCCCTCCCCACCCCCGACGTGAAAACCTGCAATGAGGGTAAAAGATACAACGGTTAGATGTGTTCGGATTGTTGAAGGTCCAAACAAAAGAGCGGCGGTGGTGAAAACAAACAGGAGCCTCCGGGCATTTACAATCACAGCAGCAAGACGGTGAGACATGCATGACGCCTCGCCCCGTCTCACCCCCGTCGACCCCGCTTTCTCTTTTAAATTAAACTTCTAGCTTTCTTTTACCCACCACCTTTCAGTCAAGATCCCCTTATGATAAAAAAATGACAGATGCAACCTGTTTTTGATCAAACCTTCATTTAAACATAACAAATGATGTTATTAAAATGCAACATTCTAGCAGTCATAGTATAATAATAACTCTCACATTATCACACCACATTTAAGTTTAATATTGGCTGAAAATGATCTATTGTCGGTTGGCTGTGGCAGCCATCTTAAATCAGGTTGACTCCAAACATTAATCAGCTGTAGATTAACACCCCATGATTATAACCTGAATGTTTCATTAGAATCCGTTCAGTCTTTTGTAAGATATTTTGCCAACAGACAGACAGATTTGACTCAAAGACAGTTAACGGCAATCTTTAAAGCATGATCTTACACAATCTGTTATCTCTCATATGTTGTGAATCACTCTCAGCTACCACAACTCCAGATTATAGATCACTATCTATAAAATTAGCTCAGTTATAATCAGAAATGTGTTTTTTAAGTTCTGTTGGCTGTGGCTGCCATCTTGAATTGAGTTAGCTTCAAAAGTGAATCAGCTGTAGGTATTTATTTAGTGATCATTTCCTGAAAGTTTCATCAGGATCTGTCAAGACGTTTATGAGATATTTTGCTAACAGACAGACAGTTGACCACACACGGTGAAAATATTGTGGCTCTGCCTTTGGCTTTTATATGAAAAAATATATATAAATAAAAGTTTGTGATTAGAAATGTATATTTCTGTTCATTAGTTGTTTTTTGTTTGCTTGTTTTTTGAAATGGGGCCTTTAGGTCTCAAGTGAACTTCAACAGAAAAATAAATAAATAATAATAATAATAATTTCTTCTGTAAAACTGAATTTATTATGATATGCAACTTGTTATAAAGCATCTCCCTGTGGGATTAAACCAGAACCAGAGCTCAACAGAAGAAAGTCCAGATCTGGTTTCTTTTCTGTCCCGTGACGTGTGAAGCAGCTGCTGACTGTTAAATCTGTCAGTTTTCTGTTTTTTGTTGTCCTGAAAACAAACACCTCCATTTTGTGAAGAAGCGCAGATTTTTATCAGCTGACTTTATTTACAGTTTTTAATCTCTCTTCATCCTGAAGGACCTGATTCTGATCTCTCTGCAGAGTCCGCTTTCAGTCCTCAACAATATAATATTTGAAGATAGATCAAAGTCCGACTCCTCAGTCTCGTCTCTGTTTCTGAAAGAGTCACTGATCTGGTTCTAGTTTCGGTCCTATTTGAGCCCATGCTGCGTCTCCTTGTGCCTCCTCAGGTCCACCTTCCTCTGGAAGCCCTTCCCGCAGAGGTCGCAGCCGAACGGCTTGTATCCGGTGTGTTTGCGGCTGTGTGTGATCAGGTTGGAGCTCTGGCTGAAGGCCTTCCCACACACCTGACATTTGTGCGGTTTCTCGCCTGGAGGAAAGGAAACGAGGGTTATTTACTTGTTTGGCGGTGGGACATTAAAGCCGGTTCGGGTCCTCACCTGTGTGGATGAAGGTGTGCTTCTTCATGTCCGACTTCTGGTGGAACCTTTTTCCGCAGAACTGGCACGGGTAGGGCCGCGTGTCGGAGTGGATGAGCAGGTGCGTGGAGAGGGTGGAGGAGCGCTTGAAGCTCTTCCCGCAGATTTTACAGTCGAAGCTTCTTTCCTGGAGACGAAAACAAGAAGGTCCGGCTTTTAGTCCAGCTTTGTGACAGAGGCTGCGGGATGTGGTCTCTGGGTTCGGACCTGTGAGTGTACGGACTTGTGCTGCTCCAGGCTCACTGCGTGCCCGAACGTTTTGCCGCAGATGTCGCACGCGAAGGGCCGGGTGCCGCTGTGGGACCTGCGGACGTGGACCTCCAGACCGTGCGGGGTGGAGAACACCTGGAGCCGGGAGAGCAGAGAGAAGCAGACTGAGATCCTGCAGGTGTGTGGGGTCAGAGGTCAGAAAACCCTGAGCTGAAGGCCTGATTTATACATTAAACTTATCACAAAAAGTCCATGTGTGGCGGATTAACAATGATCCCTGACAATAAATCTAACTGGGAACACCTGGGGGGACCAGAAGCTCAAAATAAGTGTCAACAACAACAAAATAAACTGTTTGACAGAGATGATTTGAAAATTATTTCATGTGAAGAACCCACACACTCAGCTCTACTGCTCATCCCTCAAATGCATGTTCCTTACTAATGTGGCACCATTTAAAAGGGAAATTAACCGGCTTTCTGTATAAGATTTATTCCCAAGAAGCATTGTTACAACAAAGAAATAATACCAAACACTAATTTACTGATTTTTTAAATAAAATATTTTAAATCAAATGCTCTATTTTAATATTAAAACAAAAGCATTATATTTTACCAAGACCTTAAAAAAACATATTTGAAAAAGCATTAATTTAATAAAAGACAGTGGCCGATCAAAGATTTTTCTGCGTAAGGGGCCACAATATTTATAGAAGGGACAAAATGGTTCAACATCTGTGAACACAAATCCCTGGTTTTGTTCAAGTGTAAACATTTAACCAATCATGTTCAAACACTTGTAATGTAATGCAGTGTAAAAAAAAAAAGTTAGCATATTTTAAAATGCATTTTTACTGTACATAAAATGCTTACTTTCAAACACAGAGCATGTGAGAAAATCCAGCCATTGTTTGTCAAAATAAAATACTTTTGTCTGTAGGATTGTTCAAGTCTTCTTAAGAGAAGACTTCTTTCTGTAAGCTTGATTTGTGACGGACTTTCCTGTTCGACTCATTAGCGCCACTAGTGTTTGAACATGGAACTGCATCCATCATCATCACTGGGGGCAAARRMAMWMAAAAAAAAAAAAAAAAAAAAAAAAAAAAACWMGTGCAGATGCATTGAATTTACTTGGCCACTTTATGTCAAATGGTTCCACTTAACTGAGCTGAGTAAACGTAACGCAGTTTTTACATTTACTCGGCTCAGATGAGTAGAAATGGTTGACGGATTTAAGTTGGTGCCAATGTCCCTGTGGCCCCGCCCCCAGAACCACCTCTGAATGAAGACAAATTATTATCATTCTTTCTCTCAATCAAGAGTTTTATTATTTTATTCACCATTTTCACTTGGTTAAACATTTACATTTACAAAATCTGTTTTTAAGAAGCCCTCAAAAACATAGATAGATAGATAGATAGATAGATAGATAGATAGATAGATAGATAGATAGATAGATAGATAGATAGATAGATAGATAGATAGATAGATAGATAGCTGACCTTGCCACACTTCACACACTTGTAGGCTCCGTTCAGGATGAGGCTGGGACACAGCAGCTGGGCGGGGCCGGGGCCCTTCACGTCAGGCCCTTTGTGCAGGCCGGCCTCAGGGAAGAGCAGGGCGGCAGCGTGCCTCCTGTAGTCACTGAAGGGCTCCTCCAGCAGGGCTCGCTCTGCAAACAGGGCCGGGTGGGAGCTCCTGTTGGCGTACAGAGCCATCGCCGCCGCTCCCCTGTCCTCCAGGTCAGGATGGAGGGGCTGCTCCCCGAGGGGCCTCAGCCCTGGCCCCTGGTAGCTGCTCCAGGCATAGGGCCGGAACGGGACGGTGAAGGGCTGGGTCTCGTCCACCAGAGGGGACAGGGATTTCTCTGAGTCCACTGGAGAATAACAAGATGAAACTTTAATGAAACCAGAGACGTGGCTGAATGGGGGGGGGGGGGGGGTATTCCCAGAGACCCCCCCAGACCTCAGAGAGCTAATGTGAGGAGGGAGGAAATCCCTGAACATCAGCTGAAAAATCCACATCCATAATGGAGAAACAATTGTTTCAGAATTAGAATATTTGTGAATATTTATCAAGCTTTTTTTCCCTCATTAAAAATGACCGGAGCAACTTTCGCATCATTAAAACCTTCAAAATGTTTCTAAATATTTACTATTTTTACCTTGTCTTCTGGTCCTGTCTTCTTTGGCTTTTGTTTCTTTTTATTTCTTTCTTTCTTTATTTTTATTTTTTTGCTAAATTATTATTTTCTGCTATTTCAGCTATCTTTCTGTTTCTTTCAGTTACTATTCTCCTAATTTCAAAGTTTTCTTTTTACTTTTTTTTATGCTACTTTAAGCTGTTTTCTGCCTTTTAGGCTCCTTTTTTCTAGCTTATTTTGGCAAATTTTAGCTTTTTTCTACAAGCTTCACCTACTGGCTTGACTCAAACATACTCTGCTTCTTTGTGCTATTTTGAGCTTTTTCTGCAATTTTTTTAGCTATTTTTAGGTCATTTCAGGGGTTTTTTTTATAATAAAAGGCAACATTTATGTACTGCTTCTGCTAATGTGAGCTTATTTACTGTCCTTTAACCATCTGCTAAATCCAACTTGTTTCTGCTCATTTTAGCTGCATCTCTGCTCTGTTCAGCAACATATTTTAGTCTAATTTTACTTCACTTTTTCCTACTTTCAGCAAACCTCCGCTGTTCTAATTGAACTCACAAACAGTTTTATTTCAGCTTCTTCAGCAAACATCTGTCGGCAATGAAGAGCAGATTATCCAGTTCAAACGTGAATAAGCTCCAAAAAATATTACAAATAAACTATGTATTTACATAATATTAAAGCTGCTGCCTGCAGCTCATTTTGTTCATCAGTGTCACTTCCTGACAATCACATTCATGAAGGCCGACACAAACAGACTCAAACATTCGCTGTTCAGAAACTACGAGTCAAACTTTCTCTTTGGCTTTTCAGAGACCTGAATAACACACTATAGTAAATTGTAGTTATGTACTATGTGAATTATGTACTACGTGAATTAAATGTGAATTAAATGAATTATAATTATCTTTAAAATTCTTAAACTGTATTTGAACAGAATTTGTGGAAACTGCTAATCCTTTCAACTGCACTTTCTTGTAATTTGGGCATTTTTCTGAGATTCCAGCGATGACTGCAGACGTGTTGTTTTCTTTAAAAGGAAAATATATTTTAATACAAACTGTTTTCTACATTCTGTGCAATTTTCATGAAAATCAGTCGACCCTCAGTATATTTTAAACTCCCCGAGCAAAGAGAAACATGTCTCTTATTCTGCTAAAATTGTACAACTTCCTTATTTCTCAACCAAATTAACCAGTTTTTTAAAATTATTTTATTACTTAATTTTGAAATACAATTCAGGGCCATATATATATATATGTGTGTGTGTGTGTGTGTGTGTGTGTGTGTGTGTGTGT